CATAGACGTATAATATAACGTATATTATATTATACATCTATGCGGATGACTCAATGAAGATGGCTTTATCGGTGTGATATCATTAATGGATGAAATAAACGTTAATGTGTTCATTATATCTATTAAATTTTAAAATGATTGAGGAATAAACAATGTACCTTATTTCAAAGCGAGGAGAGAAACTTTCCAAGCACTGATACTGGGTAGGTACATAATTTTTATAGATAAATATATTGTATTTTCATGATAAGTTTCAATGTCCAAGCATCTATCTATCGACAGACGTTTAGAAAATGATTTTTAATCATTTAAATTTTCATTGAAACTAATTTTATAATATAAAAAAAAAACAAGAATATTACAACAAAAACATCACATTAACTTGGTGTACCACCAGATCTTGGAATTTACTTTAGGTTATGACGCTTTTGTTCGTCGAATATGATTGTATATATGGTATACCACCTTGAATAATTCAATTGTTTTCTTCAGTATATCACGTAGGCAGTAACAGTACTGTAGTAAACAAATATCACGCCCTTTTGTACTTTCAATTTAAAAATATTATAATTATTAGAAATTATCTTCAACAATTACTTCAATTAATATAAAAGGCGTTGAAGTTCATCTAAATAAAATATACAACATTAACTGCTGCAAATTTTAACATAAAATGCAAATTTTTCATTTTTGCGCTTTCCCAGGAATTGCATCCGGGATATAGGCACGTTTCACCCTCCTCATCGCTACAGTCCTAGGCAGTATTTATGTATTATTATACTTTAATGGTGGGTACATATAATAATTGCAGTTGGCGAATCGTGTTTTACAATAATTGAAATTAATTAAATCAAAAAGTAATTATTTAAAAACGCGCAGCACATAAAGAAAAAACAAATAAATTTACAATTTTTGCTGTTATTGTAATACTTATTGTGTAAGTCCCTATATATTAAAAAAAAACTACAGAATACAATAAATACTTAAAGTTTCACTTATTCTGTGATACAACTGTTATATTAATAGACAAAAGTTATTTAAAAATATGAGCGTAAGTGTAAACGTATACAACGAAAGTATAAAAATTAAGAATTATTGTGGATTTTTTGGTTTAAGTTTATCCACTAACCAACGCCATCGAAGAACATTAAAACGTACCTACATTTGTGGCAGATATTGAATCTGTACTGCAGCCGGAAGCTGTTTTTAAATTCTCCGCTGCAAAGTACAGAGCAACGACTGAATAACGATCTATAAGAAATAAAATATTTTATTTTTGTAGTGCATGTGTGTACATGCCTATTTAATATAATGACTGGTTGTACGACTTTCCCACATTAACCATAACTAAGTCATTTCAAGATACAATTACCAATGTTTTTTTTTTTTGTTTACAATTCAAATATGACTCATACCTGAATTAATCATACAAATACAATCGGTATTATTTCAACAAGTCGCATAGTTCAAAGCAATTTAGTAGACAGGCACGTAATTTATAGGGGAGGGGTTAAAAGTGATCTCTCCCCCGTAAATATCGCATTGTAGTAATTGCACATTATTTAAGTCCCTAAAAATGTTGAAAGTTTGTTTCATATTGTTTGATAATTTAGCACACCGTACATAACAATGGCTGATAAATCAACAGCCAATATTATGATAAAGATGAATTTAAATACTTTATTCAATATGTAGATATATTTTAACTATATGTATTAATTATACTTTATGAATAAGAAAAATATTCTTTAGATGTTCTTTCAAAATAATAATGATTTATAATTCGGAACTTCGATTCATTTTCTGTACCTAGAAATACTAATTAGGTATTATTTTTGAATTCATTAATGTACATTAGAAAACTATATCTGTAAAAATTGAATTATTTCAGGTACTATTGTTGGGACTTAGTAGGATCAACCCCCAAAGTAGTGGCGCAATTAAAAGAAGACACTGGATGTCAGTGGAAAGTTTCATACCTCGAGTGAGAAGGGCATGAATTAATTTGTCTCTGGGGTCCGTGATATTTCTTTCTACGGCCCTGAGTAAACGAGCAGTTATTGTGAATATTGTAGGTACCTAAATAAACGTGCCGTAAATAAATGCTTGTTTTTACATGAATTAAAACGATCAGTAAATTTTGTTTACGCGGTAAAATAATGCCCGTGTGTTGCCGGTCTTATATAAATGATAATCTTACACCAATTTAAATAGGTAATACAAAATAAATTAGCTGCATGGATACAGAGGTTGGCTAATAAATTAAATCGTCATATTAAACCAATACAAATCGACAAACACAAACCATAAAACAACTAAAGATAAAACATAAAACTAATAATAAATAAAAACAAACATTTTTTTTCTGAAAATAAAAGTATAGACGAGTTATTTATTTAAATTTTATAAAACAAATATCTAATTTATTTTTGGGGCTAAGCCCTCTCCCCTAGTTGTGCTAATGCCCCAAAGTTTACAAAATTCTCCTACAAATTAATGCAACAGTTCAAAGTTTCATACATACCCTTAAAAAAATAAATTTCATAATCCCCAACTTCAATGGATATCCGCCTATGTTAGGCATTAGTTTAAAATTTAAACATGTTTAAAGAAAATAATATTACAAAAAGGTTGAACGTCACAGTTTTAAACTAATAAATACATTTTTATAACTTTCATTATCTTATCCAAATTAATGAGTACTATATAAATAACAATAATAATAATTTACATTTAAAAATAAAAACAAAAAATATTCTCCCAATACAAAATCTCAAATTATTATATTAATTAGATTATTGTACAGCTATGTAATAGTTATTTAGATATTAAGGAGGTACTTTTACAAGTATTTAAAAATGTAATAATAATACTGTATGGTAATGTTATAAAATAAATTGATAATGATTCAAGCAAATTCATTAGGTTAGGTACAATATGTAAATTAAAAAAAAATTCTCAGTAATTCAACATGTGTCATTTGATAAAACTTCAATTTTTAAGTAATTTAAGTTCGAATTCAATATTTTATCTATTAGGACTATTATTCTTATATGTTTATACAAATTAATGATTCATACTTTAAGAGGACAAATGTAATTTTCACTTATATCATTGATTAGGTAGGTATTCATTATATTATTATATGTACATTTAATCAATGCTAATATACATCTTTGATATAATTATAATATATATACAATTCCTTTTCGGAAATTGCTGAATAAGAGATTTTTGAAGGGATTTTTTTGAAGGTTTTTTAGTACCACACGCATATTGAAACATACGTTTTCTTGACACAACTTGATAATTACAATGTAAGAACTTACATTTATAATTTGAGTTGAAACTTATTAGGATTAAAATTTTATTTCATTGAATCATGACTTCTCACAATTATCACTTAATATCAGTGTCCAGTTTTAGTAAAATCAATAGCCTAAAACTACATTTAAATATACGTAAACTGTAAACTTATTCAACACAACTGTATCAGTTACTTACATATGAATTTTAAAAATCTACAATTGGAATTTGTATAGGAACTAAGGAACATATTTTAGTAAAAAATAAATAAATAATAACAACTTTCAAAATCGTACAATAAATTGTAATTAAAATTAAATAAAATGCAGTGATTGTATTATATAAAAAAAAAAAATACAATAATTACTTATAACAATAAATAAGAAAAGATATTTTTAGAATATTATGTAGCATAAGTAAATTTTAACTAGGGCGAAATCATAAAATAATTAAAATATTATCAATAATAAAGAGAAATATTACACGAGGAACAAATAAAAAACGTCAGTAGTTTTCAAATAGCCCCGTAAACCTGACTTCTTATTACCATTTAAATTTAGCACATAATAAATATAATTCCTTGTAAAATATAAAATATGAATATGAGTATAGAATTAGATAAAAAAAAAATAAGTATAATATTAGAAATAATTGCATGTCGGCAAACATTTTAATTTAATAATAATGAAAATAAAGATATTCTTGTATTTAATGCAGCTATTATTAATGAATTAAATTAAAAATTAAATAAAATATAGTGAATGATAGTTCTAATTTAAAAGATGTATTTATTTATGTGTGTATAAAGAAAATAAATATCATAATTTTAAACATGTATACTTAAAGATTATATTTTTATGCAAACAAACTATTTGATAACAAATTTAATAATCTTTAAACACAAATCGCCCAATATCAATGGTACAGTTTTATTTTGCTACATTTCTGATTTGCAGTATATCTAATTATAAAAAATTGTAATAAAAAAATAAAAATTTATAATTTTGATATGTATGTATATTTTTTTATACTTAAAAAAAAATACAATTTGAATTCAATATTTATCAATAATAATTTACAAAACCATTTATAATTTTTTTTGAATAACATAATATTTGGTTCTTTTGTTTTTATAAGTGAGATATGCATAATAAAATACAACTATAAACAAATAAATACTACAGGAAAGTGTACCTAAACAAAATAAAATTGAAAATGACTTATAAAGACACAAATACACTGTAAAAAGCCTAAAAATTAATAAAAATAGTAAATCACATTTTAATTACACATAATAACAGCTAATAGGACACACAATAGCAATATATAAAAAGTACAGGATGGATTTCTTAGTTATAAAATTTGTCTTTAAGTACAATAACCACATATTGGTGATAAAATATCACCTATAATTATTATTGAACAGTTACATAATTTTTTTCCTATTTTTAATTTAGTACTTAACATAAAGAGCTATCAATCAATGATATTAAATATCACCAGATATGAAGACAAAATGTTTTTATTCTTATATCTTTTAAATAATAATAAAAACAAAAGAAAGAATCTGATCTATGTTAACAGTCAACAATTGAAATTCCTGTAAATAAGAGTAAATAAATGAAATGAAAAACCACATAAACTCAAGTTATTATTTTTAAAGTTACTTATGTAAAATTAATTGAAGCTCATAGTAAGATTATAAGAACACTTTATTAACGTATGTTAAGTGAAAAAAGACAAAAAAATCAGACTAACAAAATTAAGGACCAATGTTTGAAATACAAATCAGTCTTCACCAGAATATTCATTCAAATTGGTCTACAATTATACTATTCCATTAATATAGTACTCATGAGTATTTCCACATTATATATTATTTATTATTTATCAAACTATCTTTAAGCTTAAAATAAGATTTGAGACGTTCCACAGCATACTCCTAAAACAAAAAAAAAGAATAGTTATGATACTAAATTTATACAACTGAAAAATAATTTTAATATGATAACTAAAATCCAAATAATTATTTAAAACATTGACGATTGAAAATAATAAAATTACTTAATTAATTTGAATTTGTTTAATGTTTAATCAGTTGCGTAAAGTAGAAACTTTATAATGAACCACCTAAATTAGGTGGTTGGGTATTTGCCGTCCCTGAGTGATGCATAAGCAACTTGGATAAAATACTTTTTAATTTTATTTAGAATAAATACTCGAATACTTACAAAAAATAGTATTCCGAATATGTATTCAAATACTTTATAAAAATTGTATTCCGAATATATTATTTAGAATACTTTTAAAATATTTTTAGTTTTCATACTATAAAAATAATAAATGTCCACTCAACAGAAATATTTGAAATTGTAGGCTAAATATAAGTTATTTTATTGTATTTTTAAATTACATAACTGTTATAGTTTATGGTTTACAATAATAATAAACACCTGATATTAGCTTATATAAGATAGGGTATAGTTAATAATAAGTTAATAGTAATAAAATCATTTAAAAAAGATGATTTAGCGGTATTCAAAATACTTTATTAAATACTTTCAAAAAAAAGTATTTAAAAGGTATTTGAAATACTTAAAAAGTATTCTGAATATTGTTTTCGGAATACTACCCAAGTCTGTGCATAAGGTTATAATTCAAAAGGCATAATTGTTATTCGTATAAAACTATGAAAACACAAGTTATAGTACAATTTAAAAAAAAAATATTTATTTACTTTACAGAGTGAGCATTAGAATATTTAAATGCAGAATAATAAACTTTACGAATAGTGAATGCGTGTGTATCATATTCTAATTTTATCTTTGAACAATAATTATTGTAGGGATGATAATAACTCTTGCTTTCATATCATTCCATGTATAACCAATAAATAGTGATAATTTGCATGAACAGTTTATTTTCATTTTATAAAACATATTTAACTTGAATAATATTTAATATTAATCAAATCATCAAACACAGTAGCTTTTACACTAGAATCGTTATTGTATTTTTGATCTTCTATTTTTTTTTTAAATGTTTGTGTATTATGATTTTTATAAAAAAAGTAGTGGAAGCCTAAATAAAACAAATTAGCAGAGACACGTCTAATCAAGTAAAAGACAAATTAATGCATTTTCTTTGTTAATTGTTTCTATTCAAGATTATTTTTTAAAGTGTTAAATTTAGTTAATTAAGATACTTATTTTTTTATTCCAAATAGCTGATTTATTAAATACTTTTTTTTTTTACCCTTATATTACCAATTCATTATTTATTGGTTAAAGGTCAATAGTCTATTGGATGGTGGATTATAAGTTAAGTTGATTTTAACTACCATGTTTTAAAGATCCCTATATGTCACTATACTTAATTACAAGATAAAGTAAAGAAAAATAAAATTTAAAATGAATATTTACCCTATATCCAAAAGTAATTTTTGATATTCGGCTATTGACTATACTCCATATACCCCAGAATAAATGAGATGCCAAAATGAAATGTTTTACTTCATTCAATATTATTTCAACTGATTCTTCATGTCCCATACATTGACAATATCGCTTCAAAAACTCAGTCTAAAATAAAAAAAATAATTATTGATGTATTGAATTTGAATTTAAATAATACATTAATAATATTATTTACTTGTTGGTCTTTTGTTGGAAATTGATCTCGGTTGACTGAGTAGTGTGGATACAGAGGATTTGTGTAATCATATGTCCATTCAATAAAGTGATTGGCTAAATCGAATCCACGATAATTGTAAGCACAATATTCATAATCAATTAGGCATAATGATCGACATCCTGAGGTTTCATTTTCTTTCATTAAAATATTACCCTCTTGCAAATCATTGTGACAAAAAACAACAGGTGACCTTAGTTTACTCAAATGTTTCCTAAAATTGTGTAAATATTTTCAATACATATCTAATGTTTAGTTAAATTATAAATGTATCCTTACTTGAGCCATCGAGTTTCATCGCATAGATTCGTAGACAGTATTTGATCAAGCTCCAAGTTGTCCCTTGACCAGTTGGCATCTTTTATCAGCTGTTGTAACCATCTATCCATGGTATCCCACAACCATGTTGAGTCTTTATTAATTGGAATGTTAAGCTGGTGTAAATTGGCCATTTTTTCTGCAATCATAACGCTTAATTTTGGATCGCTCAACTCTTCAGATTTCAATGACCGAGCCTGTAAGTTATCAGAGATACAGAACATACATGAATTACTTCAATTTATTCCAAATGAATGCCTTTTAACAAAGTTCACTTCTGTATGAAGTATTGGATGTTTTAATATTTTGTGTACTTGTTCTAAATCTAGGACAAAAATACATTAAATATGAATGAAATAAATCTTATAAGATAGGGTTAATGTCACTAAGTATTCCTATCAGTGTTTAACATTTAAATGAACTCAAAGCTTAACTTACTGATCAGCTATGACTAACATGATAGTTTGTATACTGATGAACTTGACCATTGAGTCTGAAATTTATTTTCGACTTTTGGAAAAATAGCAATATATCCAAAAGCCGATGTTACGTCAAAGTCATTTAATTATGTTGATATATAATATATAATTATATTAGCCTATATTTTATGTAAATCCAAAAGATAAATACTAGATAAAAATAACAGTGGACCTACATTTTTTAGTACTCTACATTTAAAGAAAAATTATTTATATCTGTAGCTGATTGGCAAGGGACCAGAAAAAAACCAATCATTCAATATTTATTTTAGTAACAACTAACATTAGATGAGTTAAAGGTTATATAAAAAGGATAAACCGTTATATTTAATATTATAATTTTTTTTTCAATGTACTTGTTCATAACAGATATTTTATAACTTTATTATTTATTTAATTTTTTTTTATTTTTCTAGTTATTGAATATTTTTAAAGAAAATCTAATGTAGAATTAATACTTCAAATATTATGTTGGTCAAAATTTAATTTTTGATAATTTTTAATAATCATTTACAAACGATAAAATCTTTTTTAGTATAAATTCAAAAAATCTCGGACAGGATAGTGTAATTTTACTGTATTCAATTTGAATGCAATTATTGCATTCGTTAAAAAACTATTCTGAGCGGACGAGGGAATTTTTTTGTTTAATTTTATTCGTTTCTATGGTAATAAATAAAGCGTTTTAAGAACAGCTTGAGAACGATTTATTTAAATAGGTAATTTATATAATTATAATTATAATTTATAATTAGAAAATATCATAAAAATGAAAAAAAAAAATAAAAAATATAAGAAAAAGCTCAAAAGTTGCTCAAATGTTTTGAAAATTTTACCATGTCTAGGTAAGGATAATATAAGTAAACAACCCAAATGTCAAGTTTTTACGAATATTTTTAACCGAATTACAACAAAAAAAAACTCCCAAAATTAAATTTTTCCGAGCTTTAAACCGTAAGGAACAAAATCTAAAATACAACAAAAAAGATCTTTTGTCATTTTTCATTTGAAACAATATTTTTAGTAGAAAACGTCTTCCGTAATTATTTAATATAATAAAATCGTGAAATCGTACGTTTTTATCCTTTAACTGCTTTTATTTTGAGTACCGTTTCGGAAATCGAAAAATTACCTCTCTAAAGTACCAGCTCAAGAACATTACCTTTCAGAAAAGATGCTACATTTGATACTTTTGAGCAAGTTAAGAGGGAGAAAAAGTGTTTACAGAATAAAAAAGAAAAGAAAAAGAAATCGCTCCGCTCAGAATCTAAAATGTAACACTTTTGTAAATATAGATTAAAATAAATTACAAAATATAGAATTCTGAAAAATGTTGTACATTTAAGAAAGTGCTTAAAAAATGTTAACATTCTTTTTTTTTTTTAGTGACACATTTTTATGATGAAATAAATAATCTATTATAAACTAGTTCAATTAAAAATCGCTATGCGATTATTGAAGGTGAACGTGCTTACCGGAATGTATTCTTCTAGACGGCCTCCAGGGAATATTCCGTGTAACTTAGGCCCCAAACCACGTTCCGACAACAATGTGAATATGACAGACTCTGTGATTATATTTTCTATCGCACTCTCGCCATGTGTTTGACCATATAACCTCATCAAAACGTCACGGGGTTCAGCATTACTTTTAAGTAATGTTACCCGATAAAGCCAATTACTTAATCCACCACTGTTAAAAAATAATAAACATACAATAAAAAAATATTAAAATAAAAAATGTTATTTACGTTCTAAATCTTTATTGATTACCAACTTTTCGCTATTTCTTTAAATGCATTATGCTAATAATTATGCTCTACGGGAGAGATGCGCTAGGTGTGCCCCAGTAACCCCCAGGAATGTTATAAATTGCCCCCTACAATTTAAGTAAGAGTAAGGGGTTAGTATTTTAACTGAAGTTGCTCAAATTCAATGTAATTTATTCTAAAATATTTGGTAAAAAATAAATTATGTTTCGTAGGTAAAAGAAAAAATGAATCTAAATTTTCTAAATTTTCATGAAAAAACCTATTATGATAATATAACCGTCGAAATTAAATACAAAAGTACAATTCATAAATAATTGAAGCTATCTATTATAATTTTTCTATCTTATGTTTTTAATATTTTTATATTTTTATATTTTGAATTGTTCTTTTTAAATACAGTAAGTTAATACTTTAATGATGTGGTAAATTATCAATTAATATATATTAAACCAGGTCGGGCATATTTTTACGAGAAATTATAAATTTAATAGTCAGAAATTCTACAATAACGTGTGTACCCTGTAGCTTACGAGGTTAGGCTACCCCAATCATGTCCATTGATAATATTAAAAAAAAAATAAACATATTTAAAATAAAACTATCAGGATTGATTCTAAATATGGGCATAGTAATACACAAAATATCGACTCACACGTCACACGGTATATAGGTAATAAGTTATTATTACTAATAATAATTAATAAAGTAATAAGTTAATATTACTAATAACACTAATAACCAGTGCTTGATTTGGCAAAATTAAAGGGGGACTCTGTTTGCTTTAAAAAAAAATTGCGTCCCAAAACTTGTTAAGCGTTATAATTATAACGTATTAATAGTAGGGGGAAGCTAAAATTTCTAAAAATTAGAAGGGGTAATCCGTCCCCCTGCGTCCCCCCCCAAGTCAAGCGCTGCTAATAACTTATTCTCACGTGATGTTTCACGCGTTTCTAAAATGTCTTCAGTAAAATTATATTACATAAAAAAGAAAATGGTAAAATATGGCATGTTTCAAAGTTAGAAATATATTACGTATAAATATGCAATACTCAATATAGACATTCTACAAATCCAAATGCATGGTATTTACACATTTCCACCTGTCGTTTTACAATGCAAATTACCTAATACGCTGCATGTTCAACAATCGTTTTGAGTTTTTACGAACAATATACGTGTTTTAACTATAATGTAAAAATATCACGTAATTAAATGCATAACGGTCGTGATGCGGCGCCTATTACCTATTGCGTCTCAAATAAATGGTTTTAATATTTTTAAAATCGATTAGAATCTATAAGGGGATGAAATTGAGGACGGAAACCAATTAAAATGCCACCTCGACCTCGTAGTTTAATTTAATACGATTAAGCAGTCTCTAAGTAACGGTTTTTTGTTTGTTGTTAAATAGTACAATTTAAATTATAACCAATTGCGTGATACACAATTTTTATTAATACAAAAAATAATATATTCAAATCATGAATAACATTTATAGTAAATACAAAAAAGCCAAGAAATAAAAATTCATAAAACTAAATAAGGAGTTTAACAATTTTCCATCCAAGTGGCTGAGAATGGAGTTTAAAAAACATCAAAACTACATATACTAAGAAACGAGTAAAATTTTTTTAAAAAATTAAACCATGCTCATCCAAATTGAACACTATTCAAATATCAAAATTTTTTTTTTCGGTAGGTATATACAAGTACTATAAATATTCTACAAAAATAACCGAAAATAAATTCATTTCATATATTTTAAATAAGAAAAATATACACCATCACAAATAGCTACACTAATTCACATAACTCACGTAAACATAATATTCAATATAAAGCACATCGTTTTTACTATTAAAAAAATTAAATTATATAAAGTTATAAACAACCAACATATTACATTTCGACACAAAAAATTTCATGTTCAAGTCTACTTTAAAGTTACCATTGTTACAGAAAATAATTGATTAAGAACTACTGTGTCATATATACAACATACATTAACAGGCATGTAATTTAGGTTAGAATCGCGGTGGAAGCGATTGCCCCCTAATAATCGTATTGTAGTAACCATGAATTAAAATATACGGTATATACCAATTTATTGCTCGTTATTTAAATCCCTTAAAGAAGGTGAATTACCCCTCCCCAAAATATACATCTATTTACGTGCTAACATGTAAGTACAATATACATTTTGTATATTACTATATTAAAACTGAGCTCATAATTGATAATATACGATATGTAAAAGCAGCATTAAATTTATTTTATATCTCCAGATACCTCAAACTATGAGGAGTTTTAATTATATTTTAACTAGATTGATTTGTATAATTGAAAAATAAAGGGAACTTAATCTAACTGGGTCACCTATAATCTGGTGTTATATTTTCCAAAGAAACCGATAAGAGTAATAAAATATCTAACTATTTAAAATGTTTATATTTTACATTAAAAAAGATAACTATCAAAAAGTAACGGAAATCAATCATAGATAATGTTTTCACTTTAATATTCCATAATAATTAGGCTTGCTCTGATTTTAATCTTATTTCAGTTTAGTATTTATAGTAATTCAAATCATAGATTATATATATAATATACGTATGTATAAGTATATTTAATCTATGTTCAAATGTATTACACAATATAAATATTACAAACAATGGTGTCACATTCTCCAAAAAATAATGCATACATTTACATTATTATAACAATAATAGATACCTAATTCGTTTCACGGTTATATCCTTGACTGTTATCTTCTTCCAGGGACCTTGTAAGTAGCCCCGGCAAAGTTTAGTTGCCATTTCAAACATATCGTTGTACTGCGCAAGACCCTAAACAAAATAACATACCCTATGAAATTAATATTGTAAAAAAAAAAAAAATTATAATTTATTAAAAATAAAATAAATTATTACAGATAGTAACATAACTAATTATATTGATGGATATAATTAGTTTCAAACTAATTATAAGCCGGCAACCTACTAATAAAAAAAGAACCAAAAATGTATCCAAATTTCAAATGTTACAAATAAAATCCACGTCGATTCTAATAAAATTAGGTACACAGAAGACGGGCAATGCTTATAAAATAGATAATTACTCAGATAAGAAAAATAGTTCAAAGGCTATTTTTACAGTGTGTTCATGTACGAATTACAAGTGAAATAATTTATATTTTACAATGAACTAAAAAATATTACTTAAAATCATTATGCTTTTAGTTCATATGCGTCGCATTGTGTACTGTGCGTTACGTCAATTGCAACATACAATAATATGATAGTATGTCTTTTATGATAAAATGTTTACTCGTTTATTTTATCAAAAACAATTATGGTTTTAATAATCTTTCATTGATCATAAAATAACATGTTATGTATTAAAAATATATTACAAAAATATTATTTACGTTTAAATTACTATAAAAATAACAAATAATTTCCATCATAATATTCCATTCATAATATTACGTTAAATAAAATATTTTATTTGATATTCTGCAATATTTCATTTATTTTTTTAATAATTAACACATTATAATTTATATAATTAAAACCAAATGTTTATTGTTTATCATAGTTTTACATTTATTTAAGCCAAAAATAGTGGAAATTTGAACAAATAAGTACCTACATAAAAGAAGCAAGTAATTTTGGGATAATTCCAAAATTCTAATTTTGAGTTAATTCCAAAAGTACAAAAGTACATATAAGTATATTTATTCATTTTTTTAAATTAATGACTACGTTTAAAAATGTGTAAAAAAAAATTATGTACTCTTCATTCTATATATTATTCGTTAAGATTATTTACTAATATAAAATTGAAAACAATTTTACTTAAACGTATTATATTTTAGTTATTATTTATTTTTAAGTATTTATTTCGAGTATTAACAGTTTAAGTTGCAATATGTCGAAAGTTTTTATGTTCTATAGTTTTTCAATTATAGATTCAGAATAAAGAAAATATAATTAAATTAAAATTTCTAATAAAGCACCTAGTTTGAACAATATATTAAAAAATATATAATAATATAACATTGTTCTAATCTGTATAAAACGAATTATGTAATTAATAATTTTCAATTAAAAAAATAACACATTCATTGTTAAACATCAGACATTGAAATGATAATAGCAGAGTAAATAGTATATTATAATTTCAATATATACACCTAGAATTAGTAAGAATATTTAAAATTAAAAATATCAAAAATAATGTTTTTAGAAAACCATTAGTTTTACACAACAAATTTTAATGACTCTCATTTGTTTTTAAAGCCGTATAAATATTAAATAAATTATAAATATGATTCCAATGATAAATGAATTAACAATAAGTGAAGTTAAACACTCACATAAATCATTATTATATTTATTCATTATTCTATCATATTAAATTAGAATAGTTTGTGCTATCCTAAGTGCTATCGTAAAAAAAATAATTTATAATCATATGATATGCTACAAGTAAGGAACGGATTTAAATGCTCTAAAATAACAAGAAAAAATCTTTAAAAAAATTCGATTTAATGTACTCGTAACAGAATTTTTTTCTCTAAACATGTACTAAAAGTGGTCTAAAAATATTTTTAACATCGAAAAAATTTGTTTTGTTATTGTAAATTCTTATTTTTATTAATTATTAATTTTCTTTTATCCTAAAAATTATTGCCAAAATGAATATACAATTTAGATAGTTACGATATTTCTACTTTTACCTTGTGTTTGACATGCATTCAATATATGCAAAATAAGTATATGAATTTTAACTAAATTGTTATCAAATTTTATATATAATATATAAATGACTTAAAACATAAAAATACTCTAAAAAGCAAAAGAGAAATGCAAAAAAAATGCAGGATAAAAGTTACTTTTTTTAATTACTTGATGTGTGAAATTCACTTTGTGCTTGGAAAGCAATGTTTTGGGACATTCAGAAGAAAATGTAATTTGCATTCAAATCTGTACCCTAATAATAAGCTTATTACCAATATCTAATGGTTTTATAAGTTAATTAAATAAGTTTATCTTAATATAAATACATGTACATAATGTAGGCTTTTGGAGCTAAGATTTAATTATTAAATTAATAACGATTTAAAATTAATATTAATGGAAGAACTATAAATACGAAACTACAAAAGTGTACTTTTCATAAAATAAAGAAATAAGAAGTTTGTCTTAAAATATTTAGATTTTATTATAATAGTTTAAATAGTATATTTATTAATATTATGCATAAAGTGTTTAATCCGTCAACGTTATTTCTATTATTTATTATTTATTATATTGACTGATATATAAATATATATATATATATATATATATATATATTGATGGTCGAATTGATAATCAAACATTTAACCTCATCTTCTGTTATATATTCATTTATATTATTTATATTATCCCTATATTATTTGACAATACATAGGTATTGTTTTTATTTTTGATTTTAATATATTTGTAAAACTTTTCTAATATATTTGAGCATTATGTATCTTATTTTGTCATCACTAAGCTATAAAAATAATACTAATACCGGTAATTATTTTGACTATTGAGTAAATTGAAATTAAAAATATTTTCAGAATGTCAACATCTCAACCCTCTCATATATTTTATTTTAAATACGATACACCGAAAAATACTACAATGAATATGATTGTCAATATCGCTGTTTTCAAAACGGACAAAAAGCGCGTCAACCTCGGGATCGATTAGCTAGAAAAGCAAAAATTGACCATGAATCGTCGATAATGCCAATCCGTTTACATAATTGTACGAGCTCGCGTAACAATTTGACACATTGCATAGCAGCACTTTAGTAGGTACTCACTCAGCAATTTATAACGACCTTCTGCACGCGGCCGATAAAGACAATAATTGCCAACGATCAATAACCGTAAGACGTAATTATTAATCGTCGACAGTGGCGTTATTAAATCCGCATTGGCGACGCGATTACTCGGATTTATCCGATTATTCAATGAAAGGGGGCGATACGAATTTCAACTTATAACCAAACGGAATGTACATCTATGTTTAAAACACATACATAAAAACATATAATATGGTATTATGAACTGTAATATTATACGATTTGATGGATACATAGCACGTAACATTTAAATTTCGCGATAATAACTAGTCGACACACGCGCCCGACCGACGGACGTGATACACGGAATACAGTGACAAGATTTTCAGCGGAAAATAGGTCAAACCACCGCCGCACACCTATAACGATGACACGTGCCGTGACTTTCACGCAACCGAACGCAATATATATATATATTATATTCATCGAAAATGAGAATGCAATCACGTCGTTAAATTAGACTCCCTCCTCCCCATCAGATCCATTTTCCAAACAAACGTTTCTCGTACAGTTCCACGACCAACGCGGTCAGTCGGTATTACCGCCCTTACCAGTGCTACGACGACGTCACGCATGAAAGCCCCGGGGGAAGGAAACGAGCGCGAAACGGCCGCAAAGAAGGTGATCTCGGATAGAAGTCGCTGCCCACGCACCAGGATGGCAGGATCCACTGAAACGCGGCCGCCGCTGCATTAGAACGACTGCGGCGGCGCGGTCCGTAACTCGAGCCGAAGGTTCTCAAAATTTGCCGTGCACCAATCTGCGAAGCAAACGTCCCCGCAGGGGGGTTGTGGTGGCGGTGGTGGTGGTAAACGTGGTGTCTACTGCTGTACATACCTGTTTCTCAGCGCTGTTTACGCCCATTTTGCCGGCGACCACTTTGTACAAGTGGACGGCCACGGAGACGAAGAAATTCTTGGTCTTGGCGATGTTCATCCGCCGGACGGATGAAATGTTGGACATTAGCCGCTGGCCGTCGAACATCAAACGACGCGTAAGTGTCTCGTAATATTTTTATTTTTTTTTTCCCAATATATTTCCCTCTCGCAACAGCCGATTTCAACGCAATAGTTTCAGCGCCGTGGCACAAGACGATCGACAATAATTTTTATTTCCAATGCAACAAGAACGGGCGCCAGCAGTTGTACACGCGTGAAATATCGACGGACGAACGTAAATAAAGCCGTTGCAATGATGAAATTTGTAAAACAGCAAATGCGGACGAGGTGTTGAATAGTATGCGGCGGTACACGTACTGCAATGATCGAATAATATCGGAACAATTAATTGTAGTGTTGAAACGTGCGAGCGCGTCTGTGAAATAACGATGAAATCGACGACGACGACCGTCTCGACGAGCTGCTGGAACGAAATTGAAATGAAAAGCGCTCGAGAGTACTATACCACGTAGTAAACTACGTATCACGCACGTTACGACCCGCGCTCCCAGCTGCTGGTGCTGCTGTCGCCGCCACCACCGCCACCACCGCGGTCACGTGACGTCACACGCGCGGCTGTGTCATCAGTCCGCTCGGCGGTCGGGGACGGGATCGGCTGGCGGTGTACGACGGGGTCGACGGCAGCGGGCGGCCCCTGGCGTGCATACCGGGAAACGGCGACGTCGTTGTCTACGACGCTTCGAGCTAACCACGTAGACGCAGCGTGGCAGTATCGCAATCGGCGGCTATCGCCCCGCGCGTTTTTCCCGCGACGGGTGGGGAGCATTTGCCGAAGAACTGTGCACGCGCGGAACGTTCCGATAGTGGCAACCTTATCGTATCAAAGATCAATTATATTTACATTAAAAATCAATGTATTTGGTCCGACCCATAGACGTGTTATAAATTTAGGTTCTACGGTCCGAGCATACCGAGTGTCTCGAGCGTCCGTTTTAGGGCAAGGCAAATAAATAACAGGGCATGTCGTCGCTTCAACTTTGTTATGCACATGTATATATAATATTGCGTAATGATTATTCTTTTAAATTGATTTACATACGATTATCGGATTAGTTGGCTACGATTTTAGTGTTGCAATACTTTTTTATGGTTGTATTATTATGTAGGTAAATACCAATGATTTTATAATATGAGTCCGCAGAAGCGGTTTTTTAGAATTTTTTTTCTGAGGGTGGGGTCCTTTTACATGAGGGGCGGCTCCAAGGGGGGGCTAGGGCCGTTTTTCCCTTCCAAGCCCGTACCGTATTTATAAAAAAAATGTATAATGTTAACAAAAATGCATATTATAATATGTACTATCATACGACATGCACGAGTATGTAGCCATAGAGGTATGACGGTTGAAAGGAGTTTCTCCACACTTCGGAGACTAAAAACCTGGCTTTGTTCAATGATGACTGAAGATTTTCTATAAACATTATGTCTAATATATCATAAATCATAAAGTAGATATTTTAGATCAAATAGATCATATTGGGTAGCAGGCATGTCATCACCCGCCGCACGCGATAACATAATACGCCGTATTATTATAAATAACTTATGTTTATTGACATTATCAAAACAAATTTGGGAACTAATATTATGTATATTAATAATATTCTGGATCTCTGATAGCTATATTGCTATAAATACATTTATTATATATATATATTAATAAATTAAATACATTAATATTAATTTATGATACTGTTATTTAAAAACAAAAAGGAAATAATGATTTCAAAATAATTTTAAAAGTTCGATAATTCACAAGTGAGCAAATTTCTGACCACAAAATTTTGGCGCCCCCAAAAAACTGGCGCCCGGGGCAGTTTTAGACAATGCCTTGCATCACCCAACCGTAAAACCACCACTGTACGTCCGTGCATTGTAAAACCGTAAAAACACGTTAACATATGCACAAAATATTTAATATTTTAAAAAATCAATCACTTGTTAATTAAAATAATATTTTTTCGATTGTCGAAGCTAATTTTTTTGCCTTGGAGTATTTAAAACTATCTCGAAATATCTTATATCATTATTATTACTTCATCGTAAATTATTCGTTTCTAAACGGTACAAAAAGTACACAAGATATCCAGAGCCGTGTCAAATTTTTCAGCTCCCCAGGGCAAAATTTTTTTTACGGGGCCACTGGGCACAGGTAGCAAATTAAGTGCAGATAAGGGTGCCTCTTACATTTAAAAAACTACGGCGCCCAGGGGCAATTGCCCCCTTAACACGGCCCTGAAGATATCCCACGAGATAAATAAACCCATTGCGATAAACATTCCTTGAAATAAGGAAGATAATCATATTTTGGTATGATATATTCATATTTTAATTAAATTGTTATGTTTTGATAAAAAACATTTTGGATTATTATTTTTAAAACATTTATGATAGCCTTGTGTTATGAAATTATTAAAAAAACATTATAACAATATTACACCAAAGTTAAATATTACCAAGTATAGTTTATAAGTATGTATTATTTTATTATGTACCACAGATATATAAATATATATAAATGTATATAGATATATAGGTATGTGTTTTATTTTATTATTTTATTTAAAAAAATGAAACAAATAAAACATAAAACATAAAACCAAAGCATAAAAATGTAATAAAATATGAATATTTATATTACAATTCCTTGCGAGTTATAAATAAAAAAAAAAACAGAATATTTTATCATCCATCTTAAAATATATCGCAGGGTATAAATTTGTGGGAAATCATGGCTGGACTTGGTAGGTTTATTCATGCACTTCACTGTTAACATAATAGTGCGACCTATTTCCTTCGACTCTAAAAAACCAAAATCATTGTTATTATTTTCATTGCAAAAATAATGAATGTGACTAAAAATGTATGATAACTTAAATACACTGACTGAAATTCAACGTGACTCCATGATTAAATGTGTCACAAAAAGATGGAATTACTCTTTAAAATGCAAAAGTTATCGTAGGGTTACCTTTAATTTGAACATTTTGTAACTTTTATCAACACAGATCATCTAGTTTCAATAGTTAAAAATAATTTGACTTAATTCTGATTTAATTCAAAATGAAATTAATTATCACTCAATATGCATATATATATATATATGTATAGTTCCAATTTTTAACATTTTCCCCGGACGTAAAAATTCCTAATTACACTTCTGTCTACATCAGAATAAACTGAATGATATGATTTAGTCTCTGCACTTTATTTTTTCCATACATTATGAAATCTAAATAAATTGTTTCCAATAACTTATATTCCAAAGAAATAAATTGAGAAAATAAGCCTTTTGCAGTACTCACCTTTGTATATCTCAAAGTTAGTTTCCTGTAAATTTAAAATACAATTATACCTATATACTGATTCACGTTTTTGTAATATGTATAACAAAGTTATTTAATTTGTTTTATACATGATATATAATTTAAATGTATAATGAACGATCAGCTTGATGTATAATTTTTAAATTCAATAAAACTCTTAAACATTTATCAATAGGTGAATAGGTTAATGATTTGAGAAAGGGATAAAGAGTTCAAAATAAATATACGTATATATTACCCATAGGTATGGAAATGCATGTTGCTTCATCAGTGATGAGTCATACCGATTGATAAAATAACTAAATTCGTATTATTCGTGAAGGTTAGGTACGTTTTATTTAAAATACATTAAATAGTTCAAACCAAATATTTTTTTACAAACTACAACTAATACTACTACTACTACTACTACTACTACTTCTACTACTACCAATATTTTCTAATGCAATTTAATTTATTGAATGAAAATGAATGTACGAGTATTATATCCAAATTTTTTATAACTTGTGTGTTAAAATTATAGTATACAATTTTTTATTATATATACCTATTTACTTTATGTTTAATTGCTATTTTCTAAAAAATCCAATCAATTGTGTAATTTTGAAAAAAAAATACAGTTTTACTGATATTTTAAAGAATGTATTTCACAAATTCTTTTATTACATAAATAATAAGTATTACTGTTTAAATGTTTACTATGAATTAATAGTGTATTAATTTTAGTTAAATACTACATTAATATATAAGAGTATAAAATATCTAACATTTTCTTTGTATTTGCTACATATTTTACTAATTAATATTTCATGTTTAATAGCTAAACTACAGGCATTTATTTTGACTTTGTATACTTCCTAATGAATTTTTTCAAAGGAATTTAATGGATATTAATAATTTTGCAAAATAGTGATGACGTTATGAAGACCACTATAAAAAGTCACGAGTGCCAAACACCCATTTGCACTGGCGGAATTTTATAAGACGCATTTAAATTTTTCACGTTTTATATCGTAAAAACTATATTTATAAACTCATATACATTTTATTTGAAAGTCACATTTGTATAAACAATTTAGAATTATGAGTTTTAATTTAACAATACAATGTAAATATAATATGCCAATATACGTTTATATTATTATTTATTGTTAAACTTCTCAACTAATTTATTATAAAAAGGGCGAATGATAAGTAATGTATAATCGTCGACAACTCACATTTGTAATAAGATAAAGACTTTAAATTCGTATCAAAATATAGCTATTATTATTGTTTATAATTTGTGAATTGCGCATGAAAATCACTCGACTTTTTTCTAATACAACGTAATTAGTACGTGTTAGAATGGAGCGTAGTACAAATGTAATGTCAACGAGATTAAAACAACTAGCTGTGATAGAATTTAAAAAAACTTTAAAATCAAGTTTATCTAACGGATTACTTGGAGAAGGAGATGACTGTTAAATGTGTCCGATGCATTGTGATAATGAAAAAGGCGGGTATATCGCGTTTGTGGATCAACTGTGACCATTTTGTTGCAGCACGATCAAACAACAAATGCAATCAACGCTACTCTTATAAAATTGAAGTTCGAGGTCTTTCAACACCAACCCTATTCACCAGATTTGGCACCTTGTGACTTCCATTTCTTATTTTTACTTATTTGTATTAATGAAACAATTGTAAATTATAGTTATGAAATTATAAGTGACAGTGTTTTTCTCTAACTAGCAATTACAATGTAAACATTTTTGTAGAATTATATAAATGTGTAATCCATTAACACTGCATTCACTTTAAGTATTAAGTATCTACACTAATTTAAATAGTGCTTTATCTTAATTAAATATGCACTGAGATTTTAAAAATATTTACGTGGAAAATATGAGCCTGTATCTTGGTAATTTATTAGATTATCTATGTCTAAACATAATGCGTTCTTGAAAAGCAAATTTTATAATACACATTGAAATTAAATATTAACTCAAGTAGCTAAGTGATAAACGACATTAAGTGTTCATAATTTAAAATTAATTATGTTAGTAAATTTAAAATATAGTAATAGCTTTACATTTCTACACTATATTTTTATATCGAAGCTTTTCTTAAATTTCCACCCAAGCGTTAATAACGACGATCAAGTT